TGCTATGCAGAGGCAGGCAGTGGCAAACCACCTCTGAACCTCTCTTGCCTTGGAAACCCTGCAGGGTCACCATGAGTCAGCACTCTCCCCCACCAGCACCGTAACACAAATGTCAAGGAATGGTCGTCCCCTAGCCTGAGGCCAGTTCTTTGTCTCCTGTGTAGATTTAAGGAGGTAAAATAATGATAAGTGGAGCTGGTGGCCAGTTACACCGTTGCCTATCTGACAGGAAGAAGGGAAAATGGGAGGTGGCCCTCTGGAGACCTAGTAAGGCTTTGGGGGTTCTGTCAGTTTGGGGTAGAGGTTAGGAGCGCGGACTCTCATGTGAGAGAACCGGGTTTGATTCTCCACTCCTCCACATGCGGCCACTGGTGTGACCTTGGATCAGTCACAAGTTCTCTCAGAGCTGTTCTCTCAAGGGCGGTTCTCTCAGAGCTCTCTCGGCCCCACCTGCCTCCTGTTGTGGGGAGGGGGAGGGAAAGGAGTTTGTAAGCCGCTCTGAGACTCCTTCGGGTAGTGAAGGGCGGGGTATAAATCCAATCTCTTCTCTTCTTCTTCTTTTACCTCACAGGGTGTCTGTTGTGGGGAGGGGAAGGGAAAGGAGTTTGTAAGCTGCTCTGAGACTCCTTCGGGTAGTGAAGGGCGGGGTATAAATCCAATCTCTTCCTCCTCTTCTTTTTCTTCCTCCTCCTCCTCCTCCCTGTGCAAGGAGTGAAGCTGGCTTTCTTTGCATCGCCTGTCTTCTCTCTGGGCTCTCCACAGCTGCAGCAATTCCCGCACCACAACACTGCCACCATCCTGTGCCGGAGGCCGAGCGGTCACAGCTGGAGAGGAAGAGCCGGCCAGCTGCAGCAGCTGCGGTTTCTCTTCCTTGCTTGCTGTCCCCACAACTGAGACGGGTCCACAGAGGGGAAGCAGAAGGTGGTAGCAGCTTAGAGGCAACTTCCTCCTTTACTTTCTCCTGGCCTCGGTCAAGGGTGGGCTCCCTGCTGGAACATGGGGATCGAGAGATGCCCGACTGTGCTGGTTGTTGGTTTCCAGTGGCTGGAGGACAGGGAGGAGGTCTCTCTCGCCTTTTACGCCCTGTTTGCAATTGTTGATAGGCAGCTGATACACTGGTGAAGGAAACTGAATGCACCCAGGTAGGTATTGGTTATATTCTCTTGCAGCCTTAAGACCTTAAAGGATTGTTGGACATGACAAGGGGGGGATTCCCTTCTTGCGGATAGATCAAGATGGGTAGCAGTGTTAGTCTGTAGCAGCAGAAAAGAGCAAGAGTCCAGGAGCACCTTAAAGGCTAACTATACGGCCAGGGGCCAGCATACCTACGAGACAGCCTCTCCCCGTATAAACCCCGGAGGGCACCGAGGTCCACAAATCAATCTCTCCTGGTGGTCCCCGGCCCCAGGGACGTCTGATTAGCCTCAACCGGGTGGAATGAGCTCCCCCTACGAGATCACGGCCCTGTGGTACTTATTGCAGTTCTGCAGGGCCTGCAAGACGGAGCTCTTCCACCGGGTGGAATGAGCTCCCCCTACGAGATCACGGCCCTGTGGTACTTATTGCAGTTCTGCAGGGCCTGCAAGACGGAGCTCTTCCACCGGGTGGAATGAGCTCCCCTATGAGATCACGGCCCTGTGGGACTTATTGCAGTTCTGCAGGGCCTGCAAGACGGAGCTCTTCCACCAGGCATTTGGTTGAGGCAGCAGACGTCCCCCCACCCCAGCTTCTAGCCAATCATCCACCATCTGATGAGACACCGGGTTTGATTTAACATCGGATCTCTCCATTTTTACATGGTATTTTAGGACACAGTTCTGTGCAAATTGTTATTTTAACACTGTTTTAATTGCATTACTTTAATTGCTGTACACCGCCCTGAGCCCATCCGGGGAGGGTGGTGTATAAACCACATAAATAAATAAATGTGGCATGGTAGAAGAAGAAGAGGAGGAGGAGGAGGAGATTGGATTTATACTCCACCCTTCACTCAGAATGTCAGAGCGGCTTACAAACTCCTTTCCCTTCCCCTCCCCACAGCAGACACCCTGTGATGTAGGTGGGACTGAGGGAGCTCGTTCCAGAGCTGTCCTTGAGAGAACAGCTCTTGTCAGAACTATGGCTTGCCAAGGTCATCCAACAGCCTCAAGTGGAGGAGTGGGGAATCAAACCCGGTTCTCCCAGATTAGAGTCCACGCACTTAACCACTTCACCAAGCTTTCGTGAGTCACTGCTCACTTCTTCAGATACAGCTAGAATGGGAGTCGACCTGTCCTGTTTATTGGAAAGTGGAGAGATTTCAGATGCTGAATCGCATTAGCAGGCAAATGACAAGAGCGGGAGAATGACAACAGCAGGTGTGATTGGATTTAGGTGAGATATGCTGAGGGGTAATAGACGTGGAGAAATCAGCATTGGTAATGAGACAGGAAACCTAGGTCTCAATTCAGTCCAGGAGGATGCATTGTCTTGAGCTTCATTATCAGTTGCAATTCCGCAGTTGCTCTACTCTCCCTCTGAAATTCCTTTGTAATAGAACTGCTACTTTTAGGACAGCAACTGAATGTTCTGGAAGGTCAACATGTCCCCCCACTGGTTTTTGAACGTCGTGGTTCCTAATGTCAGACTTATGTCCCCTTCTTGCGGAAGTGATGAACACAGATCTGTAGACAGAGATCCCTAGACAGTGAGGTCTCTGGAAGGTTGTTAGTGATAGAATGTCCACAGAGGGACTTGTGGGGCGTAGAGGGGGAGACTGACCCTCCTCCATGCAAGTGGATGGTGGCTAACCCCACCCGGGGCGGGCTCTTTGCTTTCTGCCTGCAGATCAAAAACGCTGCTGCCAACGTCCTGCGGGAAACCTGGCTCATCTACAAACACACCAAATTGCTGAAGAAGATCGACCACGCCAAAGTCCGGAAGCATCAGAGGAAGTTCCTCCAAGCCATTCACCAGTAAGTGGGGGATCCATTTTCTTTTGTGTTGACGTCTCTGATTGACGGACTGCAGGTAACAGAGCCGGGAAAGATCTTGGCCTGGCACTCGGCTGGCAATATGGGCTAGGTGGATCTGCGTTCTGACTCAGCTGGGAGGCAGCTTAATAGAAAGAGGAAGAGGAGGAGGAGGAGGAGATTGGATTTATACCCCGCCCTTCACTCGGAGTCTCAGAGCAGCTTACAATCTTTCCCTTCCCCTCCCCAACACAGACACCCCGTGAGGTCAGTGGGGCTGAGGGAGCTCTTTCGAGGACTGCTCTTGAGAGAACAGCTCTGAGAGAACTTGCGACTGACCCCAAGTCACACCAGCAGCTGCATGTGGAGGAGTGGAGAATCAAACCCGGTTCTCCCAGATTAGAGTCCACGCTCCTAACCACTACACCAAACTGGCATCTTCCACCCAAGCTACCAGTTGGGGCACAGGTGGCCTTTCAGCTAGAGATCAGGGCAGTCTTTCAACCCTTGGCATTGTCCCATGAGGGGCTGGGAAGGACCCTTCTGCCAGAGATCCCCTTAAAAAGACCCAAAGCTGTTTTCTTTCAGGATGCTGCAGGAAACTTTTATTGCTTTCCCTCTCCGTGGTGTTTCTGCCAACTTTCCAGGGCCGCGTGCCCAGATGCTTCTCTTTTGTGGAGGAGATGTTTGTGTTCATTATTTCTCCTTCTCCTTGCGAAGGGTGTTGGTGGTGAGCAAACCATACAAAGAGTCTATAAGAAAGTAATAGCGGGGCATAGAGGCGGTAGTGAGAAGTCGGGGTCAAGCGGCACTTGCCAGAGGGTGGCTGGTTGAGGTGTCTCACTGGCAGTTTGGCCTGCTAGGTCCAGAGTTTGATTCCTATCAGAAGAGCCCTGCTGGGTCAGACCAGTGAGGGTCCATCTAGTCCAGCATCCTGCCTCACACAGTGGACTCAACCAGTTCCTCAGGAGGGCCATCAACAGGGCAGAGAGGCCGAGGCCTTACCCTCATGAGAACATCTGAAGAGCCCTGCTGGGTCAGACCAGTGAGGGTCCATCTAGTCCAGCATCCTGTCTCACACAGTGGCCTCAACCAGTTCCTCTGGAGGGCCAACAACAGGGCAGAGAGGCCAAGGCCTTCCCCTCATAAGAACATCAGAAGAGCCCTGCTGGATCAGACCAGTGAGGGTCCATCTAGTCCAGCATCCTGTCTCACACAGTGGCCTCAACCAGTTCCTCTGGAGGGGCAACAAACAGGGAGAGAGGCCGAGGCCTTCCCCTCATAAGAACGTCAGAAGAGCCCTGCTGGGTCAGACCAGTGAGGGTCCATCTAGTCCAGCATCCTGTCTCACACAGTGGCCTCAACCAGTTCCTCTGGAAGGGCCAACAACAGGGCAGAGAGGCCGAGGCCTTCCCCTCATAAGAACATCAGAAGAGCCCTGCTGGGTCAGACCAGTGAGGGTCCATCTAGTCCAGCATCCTGTCTCACACAGTGGCCTCAACCAGTTCCTCTGGAGGGCCAACAACAGGGCAGAGAGGCCAAGGCATTCCCCTCATAAGAACATCAGAAGAGCCCTGCTGGATCAGACCAGTGAGGGTCCATCTAGTCCAGCATCCTGTCTCACACAGTGGCCTCAACCAGTTCCTCTGGAGGGCCAGCAGCAGGGCAGAGAGGCTGAGGCCTTCCCCTGAATTTGCCTCCTGGCTCTGGGATTCTGAGGCTTAGTTAGTGCCTCTGAATGTGGAGGTTCTCCTCAGCCATTGGCCTGATCCAGCATGGCTTCTTTTATGCTCTTATGTTCTTGATGGGCCAAGGGTCTGACTGTGAAAAAGGCAGCTTCACGTGGTCCAATGCAGGACGCTTAATGCTATAGGGTGGCCATGAAAAACCCTGGCAAACGTTGGGGGGGGGGGTCGGCAGGGTTCAGGGATGTTTTTTTCTGCTTGCTGGTACTGGAGGTCCATGCCGGCACTGTGCTTGTCAGGGTCCCGGCCCTCACTGAAGCAAACCATTTGGCTGTTCCAAGAGGAATAGAAGGAGGAGTGCTGGGGGGGGGGGTGGCCCCATTTTCACCAGCTCTCTGAAAGCCACCCGTGGGTCTTTTTTGTCCCCTTCCAGGTTAAGGAGCGTGAAGATGGAGCAGAGAAAGTTGAGTGATCAAGCCAACACCCTGGTTGATCTTTCCAAGGTAATCACTTCTCTCCCCCCACCCCCATTACTGTGTAAGAAAGCTGTGGTAAAGTCCTGATGTGGTGGAACAGAGCGTACCACTTCCTGCTGCAGGGGTGATAACATTGGCGAATTATTCCAGTTGTAGTAGGAGGAGGCGTTGTTGTTGTTGTTACTACTACTACTACTACTAATTGGAGTTATGGATCGCCCAATCCCTGCTACTGCAGGGCTCTGGGTGATGTACAGTGACGATACAACCATCAAACATAGAATGAAACATCTGAATAACATTAGTACCACAAATCTACAAGACTCAGATGGCGAATTCCACTTATTTCATTACTGTGTAAGAAAGCTGTGGTAACGTTCTGATGTGGTGGAATAGAACGTACCACTTCCTGCTGCAGGGGTGATAACATTAGCGAATTATTCCAGTATGAGGAGGATGAGGCGTTGTTGTTACTACTACTACTACTACTACTACTTCTACTAATTGGAGTTATGGATTGCCCAATCCCTGCTACTGCAGGGCTCTGGGCGATGTACAGCAACGATAAAACCATCAAACATAGAATGAAACATCTGAATAACATCAGCACCACAAATCTACAAGACTCAGATGGCGAATTCCAATTTAAAAAGGAAGCTTTGCCCCGTTGGGGGGGGGGGGGGGGAGAAGGGCAGGGTGAAAACAGGGAGCAGAAGAGGGTGCCAGCCAAGATAGTACCCGTTGCCGCCCTCAACCAAAAGCCTGGTGGAACATCTCCGCCTTACAGGCCTGCGGAATTGCATCAGATCCGGCAGGGCCCTGATGGTGTTCCTCAGAGAGTTCCGCCAGGTCCGGGCCGTGACCAAAAAGGCCCTGGCCCTGGTCGAGGACTGCCGGATGTCCTTGGGGCCGGGGACCACCAGCAGATTGCTGTCCAAAGAGCGCAACGCTCTCCCGGGGACATATCGGAGGAGACAGTCCCATAGATACGTCGGTCCCTGACTGATCAAGGCCTTGAAGGTCAGTACCAGAACCCCGAACTTGACTTGGTAATCCACTGGAAGCCAGAGTAGCTGCCGCGGCACCAGTTGCGTGTGTGCTGTCCAATGACGTTCCCATCAGGACTCATGCCGCCGCCTTCTGAATCAGCTGGAGCTTCTGGGTCAGTCTCAAGGGCAGGCCAGCGTAGAGCGAGTTACAGTAGTCTAGCCCGGATGTAACCGTGGATTACCGTGGCTTGGTCAGGGCGTGACAGGAAAGAGGCCACTTGCTGAGCCCGGCACAGATGGAAGAACACCGGCCTGGCAGTACCCGTGACTTGGGCCTCCGTATTCAAGGAAGCATCGAAGGTCATTCCCAAACGCTTGATGAACTGTATTAGTGGCGCCCCATCAAGAGCAGGAAGTCGATGCCCCAGTCCCGAAGGCCCCCCCCCCAGCAACGGAACCCCAGTCTCAACCTGCTCTGTTTCCACCAGCCAACCATAGCCTCCAGACCTGCGGCCGAGTTCTGTAGGGTAGCAGCCAGGTGGCCGTCCAAGAGCAGGAGCAGGTGGGTGTCATCACCCAAGCCCGGAACGCCGCACCAGCTGGGCGAGGGGAGGCACGTAGATGTTGAACAACATCAGGGAGAGAAGCGCCCCCTGAGGGACCTCACATGTTAAGGGCTCTCTGGAGGACACATTCTCTCCCCTGACCATGAAGGAATGAGGTAAGCCGTTAAAGGGCCGGCCCCCGAACTCCTACGTCGGCAAGGCAGTGGGTCAAAAAAATCGTAGTTGACCATGTTGAACACTGCTGTATGATCTAACAACAATAGCAGCGCTGACCTGCTTTGATCTAGCTGTCTGCGGAGATCATCCGTCAGGGCGATCAACGCTGTCTCTGTCCTGTGGCCAGGGCGGAAGCCATACTGGAATGGGTCCAATGCCAGTGTGTCACCCAGGAAGCCCTGGAAGAAGAAGAAGAAGAGATTGGATTTATACCCCACCCTTCACTACCCAAAGGTGTCTCATAGCGGCTTACAAACTCCTTTCCCTTCCCCTCCCCACAACAGACACCCTGTGAGGTAAAAGAAGAAGAAGAAGAAGAAGAAGAGATTGGATTTATATCCCGCCCTTCACTACCCAAAGGTGTCTCAGAGCGGCTTACAAACACCTTTCCCTTCCCCTCCCCACAACAGACACCCTGTGAGGTAAAAGAAGAGGAGATTGGATTTATACCCCGCCCTTCACTACCCAAAGGTGTCTCAGAGCGGCTTACCATCTCCTTTCCCTCCCCCTCCCCACAACAGACACCCTGTGAGGTGGGTGGGGCTGAGAGAGCTCTTGACAGAAACTGCTCTTTTTCAAGGACAGCTGTGCCAGAGCTTGTGACTGACTCAAGGTCACATCAGCAGGTGCAAGTGGAGGAGTGGGGAATCAAACCCGGTTCTCCCAGATTAGAGTCCGCACACTTAACCACTACACCAAACTGGCTCACACACTTAACCACTACACCAACTGGTAGTTGTTCAGCTACCGCTCTCTCGATTACCTTACCCAGGAACGATAAATTCAAAACTGGGCGGCAGTTGGCAGGATCTGAAGGATCCAGAGTTGGGGGGTTTTAGGAGTGGGACAACCACGGCCTCCTTAAGACCCTCTGGATAGGCCCGTTTCCAGGAACAGATTGACAATATCCAGCAACGGGCCCCGTATGCTACCATCGCCACGGGTCGAGGAGGCACGTTGGTTGGTCTGACACCACCCAGGACCCCAACGACATCAGCGGAGGAGAGCAGGTCGAAGGTGTCCGGAGCGGGATCCAAAGGCAGCCGAGGGGGCCCCAGTTCACATAAGGTGTCGATATTGACAGGTAGGCTGCGCCAGAATGACAGGACTCCATCTGCAAAAAATCCCACGAATGCCTCGCAGCGAATAGCCGAATTTCTACTGTTTTGGCTCCCCTTTGTGAGGGATGTCAAAACCGAATCACCCTGAACAACTGTGCTGGGCATGAGCTAGCGGATGCAGTGGAGGCAGAGAAAAATCCCTTCTTCACCACCTTCACCGCCACCGCATAGAATTTCACAAACGTCCAATAAGATGCTCTTGTAGCTTCGTCGCGACCCTGCCGCCAACCTTGCTCAAGTCGTCTGAGTTCTCATTTCATCCCCCCCAAGTTCTGCAGTATACCGGGGGGGGGGGGTGATCTATGGCGAGATTGCGGAAGACGTCGGGGAGCAACCTCATCGATGGCCTCGGAGAGACAGAGGTTCCCAGTCCTCTGTCAGCTCATCTAATGGGGTGCTGGAACCACCTTGCCAGGAGAAAGCTAACACTTCAGGGAGCGACGTTTTCTGAACGACCTCTTGCCTCCTGTGCTAGCTTCCTACTTGCGGAGGAGGTGGCTGTTGGCCTTGTGGTGTAACTGAGCTTCTGGAAACGTTTCCCCCCACCCCGCCGTCTGTCCTCCCCTTCTCTGCCACAACCCACAAATCTGGGATTATTATACCAGTGATCTCTGCAAGCTTTTCCCCGTCCCCCCACTGCTGCCTAATCTCCCCCACCCCAGCCCCCCAGTCCATCCTTATAAAAATCCATCGCAAGGAGGAGGGGATGGAGTCCTAGCACTCGTACTGTAAATTCAACAGAGGCGTAGAAGGACCATTTGGGGCTACCCATGCTCCTCCTCCTCCTTGCCCGTTGAAAGATTTTGACCTCTCCCTTCCTCCAAACTCAGATCATCCGAGCGGCTTCCAAATGAGCTCTCTACGTCGAAAACAACGGTTAAAAAACAACATAATTGCAGCGAACAGAAGCAGCGACAGCGGGAAATCCTATTAAGGAGGCTGGAATCAATTAACAGTCAAACTGATTTTTTTTTAATGATTCCATCTACTCGGTTTTACTAACTTCCCCCGGCACCCTTCCCTTTCTCTCTTTCCTCCTCTTTTCCCCCTTCCTCCTTCCTGCATCCCGTTCTGATTTCTCTTCTTCCCCTGCCCTCGATGTAGGGCCACTCAGATTACGGTCCTAAAGCAAATTGGGTATAAAGTCTTTAAAATGGCAGACGGGTTTAAGCGAAATCCTTCGCCCTTCCTCGGGTAGCCTCACCCTTCCCCTTCCTTTAGCCGTGTCCATGTGGCTCCTCCCCTCCCGTCTTTAGCCACACCCATGTGGGACTTCCCCTCCCGTCTTTAGCCACACCCATGTGGGACCTCCCCTCCCATCTTTAGCCACACCCATGTGGGACCTCCCCTCCCGTCTTTAGCCACACCCATGTGGGACCTCCCCTCCCGTCTTTAGCCACTCCCATGTGGGACTTCCCCTCCTTTCTTTAGCCACACCCATGTGGGACTTCCCCTCCCGTCTTTAGCCACACCCACGTGGCTCCTCCCCTCCCATCTTTAGCCACTCCCATGTGGGACCTCCCCTCCCATCTTTAGCCACACCCATGTGGGACCTCCCCTCCTGTCTTTAGCCACACCCATGTGGGACCTCCCCTCCCGTCTTTAGCCACGCCCATGTGGCTCCTCCCCTCCCGTCTTTAGCCACGCCCATTTGGCTCCTCCCCTCCCGTCTTTAGCCACGCCCATATGGGAACCTCCCATCTTTAGCCACACCCACTTTCTTTCATCTGATCAGATTTAGTGTTCGTTTGTTGGAAAGATATCAAGACTCTACCCTAGTACAAAGGCTCTCTGGTCAGATGGACCAGACACAGAAATACTCACTGATCTGTACCACTTGCGGCTGCATTTTCTTCCCATGCGAGGAGCTTTGCACTGAGGCAAGGGGCTCTTGCAGTGGAGGAAGGTACCACTGTTAAGTGAATAGGTGCACGGGAACCACCCCAGGCATTTGTGCCGGGGGGTTTCACCATCGAGTCGCAGCAGACATATGGCAACCCTGTAGGGTTTTCTGGACAAGAGGCGTTCAGAGGTGGTTGGCCATTGCCTGCCTCTGCATAGTGACCCTGGACTTCCTTGGCGCTCTGCCATCCAAGTGCCCACCAGGGCCAACCCTGAATCATAGAATCACAGAG